ATGTGTGTGTGAATGGGTGAATGGTGTATGATCTCCTGTAAAGCGCTTTGGCCAGTGTAACACACTGTGAGAAAGCGCTATATAAATACAGTCCATTTACCATGATCAAATGTCCCTTCTGGATGCAATGGAGGCTGGCTGCAGAGACATCTCAGCTGAAGATTGCCAGGGGTGGATAAGGCATTCTAAACGTTTCTTTCCAAGGTGCATAGCAAGAGACATTATAAGGTGTGATGTTGATGAGAACATGTGGCCAAATGCTGATGATCGTGTAGATTAGGACTTTTTGGTCTGTCATTTTGTTTTATTTTTGTCTATTGTTGTAAACACAGGGCAAAGTGCTTTTTTCTGTGATTACTGATAGCAATGTGCAAATGCCAATACCGTAAAGCCTTTACTGCAGCAATTCTGCCCTTTTTTTTATAATCCATAAAGTACTGATGGCTCCACTGTACATATACTATATGAAATTTATCCACACACACAGTTTTAGTGTGTTTACAGTAAGGCTGACTGAATTACTGTATTTCTACATTTTTGGATATCAAAGATGGTTTTCATATTGTATACAGTTCAATGAGAAGTAATGTCATTTTTGTAAAGTGATTACTTTTTTACATTTTGACAGTCTGTGCACTATGACTGACTATATGTTCCTGTTGGATAGAAAACTAGTGCTAATGTTTTGATCAAACGACTCAATTATGAGTCAGGTTTGCTGTGTTTTGATAAAGTTAGTATATGTAGAAAATGGTATTTTGCATTGTGAAATGTAAAGTTTGTATTTATTTAACAAAATGTGGTTTTTGTCCGAAAATGAACCATTTGGCCAGGTGTGTGATGTAACTGTGTTGCTGTGTTAAGAGTTTAGAAGAAGTATTTTAAGTATTGGTTAATGCTTGTTAGCAACAGCAAAAAACTGTAATAAATCTATTGCTACGCTCTGTATTGTACATGGCTTTGTCCTTTGATGCAATGCACTTGTAACTCCCATTTCTTATAAATCTGGCACTATGGATGCCTGAACGATTGCCATGGTTAGCAAAGGGAGAAGAGGAGGAGATTCTGCTTAAGTTTGTTTTGAGTCTGGACTTAATGGTTGAAATTAGAGGGAGAAGTTAGTAAATGCAGCTTTAAGATAACTGAATTAATGTAATGTTATACAGAGGCATGAAAGCTCACCATGAACAATGACATTAACTGTGTTGCTGAATCCAGTGATGACTTTCCGGGATCTGTGGTGAGCTTTGCAGGTATAGTCTCCTTCATGGGTCTGAGCGATCGAAATAATGTCGAGATATGATCCATCCATTTTCAGAACTGAGTCCTGCTGGAGTTTCTTGTGACTGTGGTACCAGGTGAACGTCCAGTCAGAGCTGCTGCCAACTTTACAGCTCAACTTCACTTTCTCAGTTTTGAACACGTCAGACCAGGGAGACTGGAGACTCAGTGATGGTGTAGGTGGATCTGAAAATACACACAGCAAAAATAAAACCTATTTAAAATGACTTATCAGAAATGGACAAAAAATAAACAAACATAGATATATACACACACACACACACACACACACACAGAGACAGACAGATAGATAGATAGATAGATATCAAGTGTATTATTAGTTAGTCAAACTGCTAGTTTCACAGATAAGAGTACTGGACTTGTATTCAAAAACACACATAAGGTCAAGCATATGGAAATGAGTGAACTGGTCAAAGAGTTTGCAGTCTGACTTAACAAGTGGCACAGTAGAAAGATGTTTTATGGATAATGATACACCGGTTAATAGATTGGAGGATGTAGTAGATAAGTTTAATAGGTTCTTTGTGAATGTTGGTCCTGGTTTAGCAAGAAGCATTTGTACAGATGATACATCCGTCACTATAAATAATAATACAATCGAAAGGAACATGAGTTCTATGTTTTTGAAGCCCATAGTTGAAAAGGAAATTATA